ATATTCTATGCATGATATAATAATTCCTTAACAGCCTGTTGTGTTTTGAGTTATTTTGAGTTGTAGAACTTATTGAAGACTCAAGACAGCCATAACATTATGATTTTTTACAAGTGTATGTACACTTTTGACCACAACTGTACATGTATGGAAACACAGTTCTTTGCTTTCTTTAGAGTGGAATCTACTGAATGACAACCAGGAAGTGACCAAAACCTTTCTGCATTTGCAGACCCTGAAAGTGGAGCCTTACCACGACAGTTTTCTTGCTCGGTATCTTATTCAAAGAGCTCTGCGGGTGAGTCATGTGACTTCTCGTTTCACTTGATATATCAAATGAAACTGTGCAACAGTTTGTTGATTTATTGTTGCTGCACCTTTGAATTGTTTTCTGTTTACTCAATTAAACATTTAGTTAAAGTATTAAGTTTCAAGGATAAATATTGTGATGGGAAAAATAAATTTTGACTTAATGTTTAATTTTGGTCTATGCTTCAAATGAACCATTGTTACACCTTGGTTCTGTGGTTAGCCTCTCCGTTCAGGATTTTTCACTATGCTTTGTCTCATTGCCTTGTTAATGACCTCATTTTACATGAAATCATCTGTCAAACACATGACCTTCTGCTTTGTTCAATATTACTATAATTTCTGAACTATTATGGCACCTGAATATATAGACTCATTCAATAAGAATCAGAATATTATTGAAAAATGTATTTATTTCAGTAACTCCGTCACCAAGTTAAACACATTATTTAGATTTATTAGATAAAGGCTATGTTTTAAAACCTTTATTTCTTAGTAAAGATTGTTTTCTGCCAACGGCCACTTTAAAAAAAAAGAAAAAAAGATGGCTGCATTCACACCAGCCATGTGTCTGTTGTAATCAAACTCTAGTTTGTTTGCCTGAAAAGTCCGGCTCATTTTGGGATGTGTGAATATGAATGCAAATGGCAAGCGGACCTGAGACTGTTCCATAAACAGTAAATGAACTGCAGGACATTTCTGGGCAAATATAACCAAACCAAACACACCAGTGTAATGATAAAGGGAGAAATGGCTCATGATATCACAAAAGAGAAATTCTACAACTGCTAAAATCTGACACCACTCCATTTTGTTTCAAGAAGGAAGTTATGCTCAGCCACTTCAAGGTTTTCATGTTGTTTCCTTCAGTAGTTCTTGGTGCAGTGGCACCACAGGCGAGTGGCTGAACAGGTTTTTCAAAGGGTTTAGATTATCTGACACAGTGTGAAAGTGGAGCACACCATCTGAAAATGTCATAAATGATGCAATTTTGGTCCCCAATCAAACCGAGTCTCCTGGACTATCAGATGTGAGAACGCCTGATAGTGTCAGATGTTTGTTTTCTAAATGGACTGCCATAAACTGCAATTGTAAAACCGTGGAATAAGCCATGTGGAATGTGAGATGGAGGTCCATTTTCTTTTTCATCCGTATACATGCGAGTGGCTGACCTTGGGGTAAATCTGAGAGTCACTTCAATAAAAATGAGCAGCTGTCTTAAATGTTCTGTCATTGTTAATATTCTTTCTCACAAGAAAAGAGAAAAATTATTCACAATAGAATCTTTTTACATAATAGAACTTGAACGTTCTTGATGGATTTACCATAGTAATGGACATAATTTATTTTCTAAAGTCATTGTTTAGTAATTGCCTTCTAGACATTCTGTTAACACATGCATCTGTTCCAGAGCAGCAAGCTGCCAGAAGCTCTTCTATTCATAGACGTGGTCCTGCTGATGTTCTACTTACCCTCTTGAACCTAATTATACCCCTTTGTTTTTGCAATCACTTTATGCTGAAAAAATATGTATTTCCATGAGATATTCTGTTTAGCTCCAAAAGAACTTTGTCAGAAGCCTAGTCAAGATTTTGATTAGTTAATTTCACTGTATATTTCCATGGATTTATTTCTTAAGTTTTAGCTGTTGCTGTTGTGAGGTTTAAGAGAGAAAAAGAAGCAGACATCATCTGAACTGTGCAGTTTTGTGGCGCAGCAGGTGAATTTATATTTAACCGTACAACAATTACCAATTCTCATTAAAGCATAAATCATGATGTTGTCTTTTACATGGCAAGGATATACTGATGTACATAACAAAACACCAGAATGTGGATTTCTTTCATCACAAAGCCTTCACAATGTTAAGACTATTTTTTGAACATTTGCCAGGTTGGAATTGTTTTTCTTCTTTCTTGCTTTGCGTGCTACAAGTTAATTAAATTGGGTACATTTATTCAAAAGATGTCAACTTTCGAGATGGACATTAATTAACACTAGATCTTTTCTTTGTTTTGTCAAAATAGAATTTCTGGGTATTTCGTTTGCTTTCTCGGAATGATGAAATAGACATGTAGACAGCAGCTCAGTTAATCACATAATAGAGGATGCAGTGTTTACTCACTGAATGTTTTCTGTGAGCATTTTTATTGCGTAAATGAAAAGGAATAAATCAAACTCTGGACCTAAGGAGCAAATAAACTTTTTTGAGCTTTACTTTATGTCACGTTATTCCTTCATCAAAAACATATCTGCCTTAATTTATATGTACATGTTTGAGAAATATTTTAATTTTCCATGGCAACTATTCAGCTGTGCTAGCACCAGGGTAGACCTAGCACTGTCTTTGAGGCTCAGCTCCTCCTCTGAGCTGCAGCTCCAAACTCCTCGTATAAGGAACTTCTCAGTGCAACGCTGGTAAAAACATTCTTACAAGATTAGTAGAGGATTGATGCTGTGATGTCTTCTAGCTGGCTGCTGTGGTGTTAAAAAATGTAGTGGTTTAAAACTCCCGTGAGCGACATTTCTTTTAGATGATTTTAAAACCTTTTGATTGTGAAGTTTTTACTAAAACATTTACAGGGAAGCATAGGAAATTCACATGGGACTTTGTCAGGAATAACAAAAGCATATTTCTTCCCTCACCCATACATACAATACATCAGCATTGACAATTTTGACATGCACAACTGTTTCTCTGAGGATCTTACTCTTTTCTTTCTCTGCAGAGCAAGAGAATCGGCCACTTCTTCTTCTGGTATGTGCGCAGTGAGGTTGCAGGGTGCCCATACTTCCGCCAACGCATGGCAGTGATTCTGGAGGCCTATCTGCTGGGATGTGGCCAGGCTATGATCAACATCTTCACCCAGCAGGTGCAGGCTGTGGAGGCCCTGCAGGAAGTCGCGATGATTATCAAGAGATTGTACCCAGACAAAACAGATCTTCCTTCCTCAGGTTGGAGATCCAATTATGTAAATATTTCTTGTGGTGTCTGAAAGCTTTTATGCCTCTTTGCTAACCTGACCTTTAAGATAAATAGAGAGTGTGAATCCTCAGAAAAGCATCTCAAAATATAAATCATAATACATTACAAAGATGCTTTGAACATCTGTGTAATTTCAATTCTGCTTTAAACCCCAACACAGGTTTCTCTAATTTGTCTGTTGTGTTCTTTGCTCTTGATGCTGTTAGTTCTCTAATGTTCTCCAAACAAACCTCTGAAGCCTTCAGAGATCAACTAGTTTTAGACGCAATAGATGTATAGAATACTTGTAAAAGATTTGGTTATTATTTCCATAATTTTTCATCCACTTGACAACTACACACTGCACTGTGTTGGATATGTGTGTTGATCCCATAAAATCTCAATAAAACACCATGTAAACACAGAAATAACTCTGCAAAGTTCTATATTGGAAAACTGAATAACAATGGCACCTTGGTCTGTCTAGTCTCAGATTTAATACCATGCTCTTGGATAAAAGAAAGCTTGTGAGAACAGCCTTTCAGGCCTTTCAGCCAGATGGTTATAGAAAGAAAAAGAGGGTAATATATAATGATTATAGCTCCTATTTAGTGACCTGAAAGTCAGATTTAATGGGCTTGGGTTGAAGCAAAAGCACTTTTCAGTTTCTTACTGAAGACAATGACCTGCTAACGGAATGTGAAGAAGTTGCAATCATCGTGTCCTAAAAGACATTTAAAAGGTTACTAACGTTGACAGGCTAAATGGAAGAACTTGAGGATGGATTGATGGACTTCAGTGTAACCACAACCCAGGTTGCATATGTTACAGAATGAGGCAAGGGAGCAGATCCAAAACAACTGTTGGAGATACAAAGCCAAGGCAGAAGTACAAGCACACATGGTAGTGGAACAAAGAAATGCAGGATGTGATTCAAGAGAAGAAACAAGGTCTGGAGGAAGAGCCAGCTCTGCCATGACCTGGACCAATGCCACATGCTGAAATCTGCAGCAAACTGGCTGGTGGCTGCCAAGAGACTGAGCCATAACTTCCCTAACCTGTATGGCCAATTGGATACACCAGTGGGAGCAAGCAACATTTACTATTGTGCCACCCAATACATTGGGCACACTAGGCAAATCAAGGGGTGATGGAGGGAGGTCCTGTGAGAATCACCAGCAATCCTACACCATCAGCATTCCCACCCCCAGAGGGACAGCATCAGCTCCCAGCCAATAAGTCTCCTGTATCACACCATTAAAATTTACAAATGGATTCTTGACTGCTGCAACACGAATACCAGCCCCAACCAGTGTAACTTCATCAGAGAGTGTGGCACTGTTGACTCCACCTGTGTACTGATGGAGAGGCATTGGGGCAAAGGGCAAGACAGTCCACATGGTTATCATGTACCTGGAAAAAGTCTTCAACTGAGATGCCCTAGAAAAATGTCTTGGACATATTTCATTTTTTCCCCCTAGACTCTAGGACATTAAACCAAGTGTCTTAGTAAACTTGGTCTAATCTGCCAAGACACCTAAAAGTGTGGTTTAATACCCAGTAGGAGCATCACCTTCTTTTGACGTCGTGGTCAGTGCCCTTCAGGGGTCCACAGTCTCGCTTCTGCTGTTCATCTTCTGTATGGAAACAGCAAAAGCAGACTTGCAATGAACACCCTCATAGACTCTTCTCTACACTTATGATGTAACTGCTGGTCTGACCCAGAGCGACCGGCAATGGACGATTTCACTGAAACATGAAGTAACCAAATTAAATAAAATGGGCTGAAACTGAACAGTCAAAACTGAATGCAGCCCCCAAACTGGTGGCCCAAACAAGATTGATGAACAGAAAATAGTAAAGACCACGAAGCTCAAGTGTTTACTCGCACTGACCAGATTCGACCATGCCTTGAAAGTACAATGTGAGACGAAGACTCAAGATGGTTAGATTTAAAAAAAAAAAGTTGCAAGTATTATAACAGCACAAATGAAATTCTTGCTGAAAAATGTTGCACAAATGCTTGACACCAATTTTGTTGAATTTGAAGAAAGTAGGGGCCAACTTCAATGATAAACTTTACACTTGAGATTATGCTTAATTTTAGAACCTGGAACCGAACAGAACCCTTTTGTGAACTTCTGATATACAAAATAACTTTTATCTTGACTTTTGTCTCATCTCAAAATGTCTCTTTTTGTAAAGTTAACAAATGCACAACTCTTTTAAACGAGCGTCTGGTATAATTGTGGATCAGACACACTTTGTGGGATTGTATATAGCTGTGCGTTAATTCCCTTTTCTAGCCATCTGTTGTTCTTCTCTTTAATATTAATTAGGAAACAAAATCCCGCTTCCACACTGTTGGACCAGGCTTGTCTGTTAAGATGAAAACCTCTGCACACCTGCTGCTCACCTGACACTTTGTAAAAGTAAAAGTTTTTCACACCACTGATTTGCCAAACACAGTCAGCATGTGTCAAACTTACACTAACAGGCTGAATGTTTCAACATTAAGGTTTTTTTCTTAAACAAATCTGTGTTGTTGCTTTTTCTCAGCTCCACTCAAGCTGCAGGAGCTCCTCAGAAGCAGTAATCTCCCAAATGAATTCCTGTTGCCCTTTGACCCCCGCATCAAAGTGGGAACGATTCTGGTAGGTCTTGTTACAGTGGGTTTCTTTGTGTTAGAAAATGAGGTGCGCATGGCTCACATGATGTGCTGAATAAACAAGTTTTAGTCCTGTGGTTTTATTTTTTTGACTTTACCAAAAGATATTTGGACTTTTGCATAATAATCAGTCTTAACAGCCTAGTTTGAATTGAATTGAAATGTGTCTGTTTTGGACCTTTTGAACAATAATCAATGCAGGGAATTCAATAGAAGACGGTGAGATCTACACTGATATAAACAACAAGGAAATATTTAAAATGTAAACACAATAAATCAAAAGCCAAACACCCCTGGATTGTATTTAAAGGATCGAGAGTCTGGGTCCTCTACCAGATCATGGTAAAGTGGTGATTTGTGTGATATATAGATGTTGTTTAGAAATTAGCTCTAAAAAGCTTTTCCAAGTCGTCCAAATCCAGAATTCTTCTATTCAGTTCTCCACTGTGCTTCTTCTGACAATGTGAGTTTTAATCAATCTAATAAGAAGTGTCAAACAAATCCCGTATATTCAGGCAAACCTTTCTTAAAGGATGGGAAGACAAAAAAGAATAAATGAAGCCAAACAACTAATAATTTGCTAAGTAAAGGAATCATCATTTTACATTTTCAAATCATGCCTCAGAGAAGGTCAGTAAGGATTTATGGGTTAAGAACTTGGCTGGGTCAGGCGTCTTGCAGTGGTTGAAGTGAAGCAGATTCTAAACTGGAGTCCAAAGAAAAAAAACAAATTGGATTTTTCTGAATCCTTCTGCTGCAGCTGGACAAATGCAAAGTGATGGCCTCAAAGAAGAAGCCTCTGTGGTTGGAGTTCTCACCAATGCCATCGCCCACCTCCAGCACACCCGTTGGGATTATCTTCAAAGAGGGGGACGACCTCCGACAGGACATGCTGGTCATCCAGGTCACACAGATCATCTGCTGCTTTTATTTTCTTAAAGAATATTGTTTTACTTTTGTTTGAATTATCATGGATTTGTTTGCCTTCGTGTTTAGACCTTGGTGGTGATGGAGTCCATCTGGCAGGAACAATCTCTGGACCTCAACCTGATTCCATATGGATGCATCTCCACAGGACACAACATAGGTATATTTCTTTAGACGATTTTATTTAAAAGGAATGCTTGCCGTTACTCTATGAGGCACACAGGAATGTTGATTGCTTATTTAGGGAGAGAGAAGTAAGATTAAAATTGATGTCCAACTCAGGGTCAGAACAGGATGAAGTACACCTAACAAACAAGTCAGTCAAGTTATGTCCATTCAAAGGCAACTTCCTTTTTCAAGGTTTCAAGATAAAAAAGGAATTTTTGTTTTTAAATTCAATATTTATTTGACACAAATGAGCTTTTTCAAAGTGTTTCTAAATCCTCTCTTTCCAAAGGGATGATTGAAATAGTAAGGAATGCAGCGACCATTGCTGCAGTGCAGAGAAGCCACGGCGGAACGACTGCAGCCTTCAGAAATGACGCTCTGTTTGAGTGGCTCCGGTCCAAGTGTCCACTCCAGGAAATAGTGAGTGAAACGGAAGCGGAGATATTTTTCGTTACAGATTTGAAAACGTAGTGAAACTTTTTGTTGTTGATGCAATCAAAACTTTTTCTACTAAGTAAAACCTGGCTTAGGTTTAAATTGATTAAACTAGTACAAAATTAGAAAACTATAAGGGCGTTTCTATGCCTTTATTCTGTCTGAGTCCAGTAGACTCAG